TTATAAATTATCAAGGGTTCATGAGGGAAGGAGGATAGGAGAGGGAGGGGAAAAATGAGGAGCTGATACCAAGGGCTCAAATAGAAAGCAAATGTTTTAAGAATGATGATGACAACAGATGTACAAATGTGCTTGACACGATGGATGTATGTATGGATTGTGATAAGCGTTGTATGAGCTCCCAATAAAATTATACACACACACACACACACACACACACACGTTATAAATCTTTACCACTATGCCTATGGATCTAATCTCATTTGAGAATAGTCTGTCTTTGTTATGTTAATGAGACAGGATGACTATTAGGTGTCTTTTAAGCCCATCTCTTTTGAGATAGAAAAGAGATGAAAAAAGCCAGGGAAAGAGCAGATTGTGCAGAGAAGACTTCCTGGGAACAGAGCTCAAAGGACACGGGCTCTTTCTACAGACAGGGGAAGCCTGCTTTTGAACTCGGGCTTCTAGCCTCTTCAATTGTGCGAAAGTAAATTTGTTTGTTGAAACCACACACTTGAACTATTTTTGTTTAGCAGCACCATAACTAAGATAATCATGAACAACTTCAAGTAAATAAAATAGACAACTGAGATGAAATGGAGAATTCCCTGAAATGTCAAGTCTCATTCATGAAGAAATAGGTAACCCGAATACTGCTGCTTCTCATAAATAAAATTACAGGTCGAAATGATGCCACTGATGAATACTACTGAACATTGAAATCAGAAAAATAGTAAATGTATACAAACTTTTCTGAACATTGAAAATAGGGAATACGCCTCAAAGCATATTTTCAGTCCAGCATGACTATGATCAATACCAATAAACAACTATCGACCAATTAATATTGCTTAGGAACACAGGTGCAAACATTCGTAAGAAATGTTAGGTGATCATGTATACACAACTCATTTTAAAAAGTGACAACCGTGGAGGTGTATGATTTGTGAATACTATATCAAGAAAAACCACTAAAATAGAAAAAGAATGTTGATATAATATGAAGAATATAGCCAATGTCATTGAGCAATATGTATTGAAATTATTTAATGCAAACCTAATTTGCTCTGTTGACCCTCATCAAAACACAATAAAGAAATAAAAAGAAATATTAGCAAATCAAATCCAAAACACTTTAATTGATTCCAACTCATAGCAACCCTATGGGACAGGATGCAAGTGCTCCAGAGGGTTTCTGGGCTGGTAAATCTTTACAGAAGCAGATCCCACACATTTCTCTGATGGAGCAGTGGGGGGTTCCAACTGCTGAGCTGTGGTTAGCAGCTGAGTGTTTAACCAGTGCCTCACCAGGGCTCACATTAAATTCAACAATCTATCCAAAAAGATAATCATGACCAAGCAGATTTAGCCAAGGGAATACAAGATTGGTTAAACATTTAAATATCAATTGATGTAATTTGCCATACTCATGAAAAAAAAGATGCAGAAAAGCATGACAAAATCCAAACACAAATTCCTGATGGAAAAAAAGATACAGTAAGCTAGGGGGAAAAGACTTCCTTCCACTGATAAAGGGCACATATGGAAAACTTATCGCTAACGTCAGGTGGAAGATGACGCTTTCTACTTCTAAAGATGCATAGTCTCTGAAACCCACAGGAGCAGTTCCGCTCCCTCCGGCGGAGAGGGTTGTGAGGAGTCAGAGTTGACTCCAGGACAAAGAAACCAACTTGCTGCCATTGAGTCAGTGCTGGCTCACAGCCGACCCCCACTGGCTTCTGCGACTGTAACTGTTTTAAAAACAAAACTAGACTCACTGCCATGAACCAGTGCTGGCTCACAGCAACCCCCTGTGGGTTTCCCAGACTAACTGGTTATGGAGCAGACAACCCAGTCTTTCTGCTGAGCAGCTGCTGGCGGTTTCGAAAAGCTGACGCCGTGTAACCACTATGCCATCCCGGCTCCTCAAAGGCAGTTAGGTTTTCTGCTTTTTTTAAATAGCTAATAATTATTAAAGTTATTTTTCTTGTCTTTAATTCTTTTGTTTTTCTTTAAACTTTACTTATTTTGTTGTTGAGAATATACAGTTTCTACAAGTACCGCTCAGTGACATGGATTACCTTCTTCAAGTTGTACGACCCATCCTCACCCTCCTCGTCTAAACCTAACTAGTCCCGTTTGGTGTTAAGAAGACTTCGGTGGGGGGAGTAGGCAGATATGGTACACAGACCCTCCACAACAAAGGCACAAGGGTCCAAATGAAATTTAGCTGAATGATAATCCTGGAACCCTGAGCTTTCGAAGAAACAGAGGAGTAGAAGCAGTGGTTCGTTTTGTTGTACATAGGGTCGCCCAACAACAACAATAACCACACTGTTTCCACAGTGGCTGTATCACTTTGCATTCCCATCAGCAATAGTTAAGTGTTCCAATTTCTCCACATCCTCACCATCATTTGCTATTTTCCGTTTTTTTGCAGTTTTAAAATCTTAACCCATCTTTGTGGGGTGAAATGATATATGGTTTGATTTGCATCTCCTTGATGGCTAATGATGCACAGTACATTTTTATGTGTTTTGGGCCCATTTGAAAGGCTATTCAAGTTTTTTGCTCATTTCATTAGGGTGTCTTGTTGCTGTTAAGTTGCTGAAATTGATATTTACTTTGGCTACCAGATTCTGGTTAGATATATGGATTCTGAAGATTTCTACCCAGTTGGTGACTTGTTGCTTTACATTTTTTGGTAAAATATTTTAATGAACAAATGCTTTCAATTTTTACAAATTTATTTTTGTCTTTCATAATTTGTGATTTTGCTATTATATTAGATAATCAAGTGTTGAAAGTCTTACCTAGTTGCCCCTGCTTGTTCTTCTAAAAGAAATTATTGTTTTAGTTTCTACATTTGGTTCCTTGATCCATTTTCCCTCCAACCCATTTTTTGGGGAGCTAATACAGGTATCATATCATTTCATAGTGCAATCACAATAAAGCATCATTGTACAATTGCCAACCACAATCAGTTTCAAAATATTCCTTTCCTTCTTTTTATTATTAGTCATTTTATTGGGGGGGGACTCACAGATCTTATAACAATCCATAATTCAATTGTATCAAGCACATGTGTACATATGCTGCCATCATTTCTAAAACATTTTCTTTCTCCTTGAGCCCTTGGTTATCAGCCTCTCTTTTCCCCTCTCCCTCCCATACCTTCCCACCCTTGTGAATCCTTAATCAATTATTTATTATTATTATTTTATATCTTAAAACCATCTGTAGTCTCCCTTCACCCACCTTTCTATTAGCCCTCCTCCCTGGGGGGTGTTATCTATCCAGTCTTGTGATCAGTTCCCCCTCTTTCCCCCTTACCCCCCAGATTATCTTCCTTCTTGAACTCCTTGCTATCAGTTCCCCTTTAATCGACTGTCCCACTGTACCCCCTAGAAACCCCCATTTTATTTGTTGTTTCTATAGGTTCATCACCTTAATCTATTTTAAATTTGTTTTTGTATAAGGTGTGAGCAAAGATCTTGCTTAAGTCATTTTGCATGTGGAAATCTAAAATTTCCAGCACCATTTATTGAAGACACTATTCTTTCAATAAGCTTAGCACCACTGTAAAAAAAATAGTTGACTATAATGTGTGGAGTCATTTCTAGACTACCAATTCTGCACCATTAGTTTATATGTCTATCGTTATGCCAGCATCATACTGTTCTGATTAGTGTAGCTGTATAACTCTTAAATTTAGGAAGTGTGACTTCTCGTACTTTGTTCTTATCTTACAACATGGCT